GAACCTTTGGGTTCCACAGAATCCTGGCTGAGAAAGGGTGTTCTACGTTCATAGACATCAAATAACCTTTTTGGAAGGTTTGTACTGCTAACTAGAACATAGATTATAGCTAAATTTAGCGAGCCCCAAATGGATTCTGGATGGTTCCAAGATCACTAAAGGGCACAATACTGTTGTTTTTGTGCCTTTGCTCCAGTCCCAAAGCCACAATTTAATCAGTTTCTGAAGCCAGAATAAAATTCAAGCAACTCCATATCCTCTAATGGCCCTGTAACAGCTACAAGGGCCCAAGAAGGCAGCAACTTGAAAAATTACTCTCGAAAAATGACTCTCTCGAAAGTGGATAAACTCTGTAAGTATATATGGTGACTGCTCAGAGGTTTGCTTGGGCAGCTGTAAGTATTTATCCACGTAAAGTTGAAACAGGTACCTTCAAACACCTGTTGCCCATTCATTTTATTGCCTCTTGATAATATTTGAGTGGTTCTGCTGGAGATCTTTTATTTTTGTTCTTCCCATCACTAGTGCCTGCAACATTTCCATGCTATGACTATGACTAGCCATATTTAGCAGAATCACTCCACTGAAAAATTTGAAACAATATCGAACCAAAATCATGTGTGCTATGGAACAGCCAATCAATCATGGCATTAGCACACATGCTTTAGTTGCAGTGGCATGAAAGGAGAGAGGGACCAACTGACATGTAACTTCATTGGAGTGAGTTGTTACCATGAACAACCACAGAAGCTAAATGTCTATCCATAGATATCAATAAAGTGACATAAAAAGGGGCAAGGAGAGAAATTTCCAGTTGATAACTTATTAGTCACTAACGAGGGACCAGAAAATAATTAGACAGTAGTTCTCTAGAGGTGGAAATTCTTTTTTATGCTCTTACTGGTTTAGATATATTATTTTTAAATGTGTTTCCATAAAGTTCCTAGCAGAGAAATGAAGAGTGCTGCTGATGGACAATGGTTGTCTACCACTGATCTTGTACACAGAGCCACTCACTGAACGCACAACATTTACAAACAATTGTTAACAGAAAACATCGGCTGAAAATGCAGTATGGGTAAGTTGTAGACTTTACCACATAGAAGAATGAGATAACCGAACATTCAAAATGCGGAAAACAGTTTTTGGCATTACATTTTACAGTTTATAATCCAGTTCGCAAAAGAAGCAACAACAGCTATACAAGTGTAATACTATTGTACTATGCACTCAGCTACACAAAACTATCATTCTGCCTGCGCAAGCAACACGTTTCATAGACACGTTTTAAAATGTGAAAAAAATTGACATGATATTTTAGTGGGTTTTCTACTACAGCATTTCAATATGGCCAAATCCTGAGCAGATGTAAATTGACAGGAAAGAACAGCCAATGTAAGGCAAAACATGCTAGCATTCTTTAAGGAAGAAGTCTCATTTCTTTTTTTATTTTTTGTGTTCTGTCCCACAGGGTTACACAGTACTTTTTCTCATCTTCCTACATGACGTGAAAGCAGAGCAGTGGTGTATTTTGGTTTTGTGCTGCCCTAGGCAACACAAAAATTGGATGCCCCTCCTCACCGGCGTAGAGAGCCTGACACCGACCAACACTAGACCACATTCCCCCCCACAGAGAGAGCCTGACAATGACCAACAACACCCCTGTCCCATCACCCCCCCACCCGAGAAAGCCTTTCACTAACACCCTCCTCGCTGGTGACAGAGAGAAAGGCACTCACCTTTACAGCTCTGGACATCCCCCGGGTACAACAGTCGGGCTCTGCATACACCATCAAGCAGCCCGCAGCCTCTTTCAGATCCCATCTGGTCCCCATGTTGCATATGTCCCTTCTTCCAGGGGGCAGTGCTGCCCCCCTAAAGAATGCCGCCCTAGGCAAGTGCCTTGTAAATAAATACGCCCTTGAGTGGAAGGTTAGGTACATGGTTGGACAGGAAGCTCCCCATAGCTGTCCAACAATACAGCTAGCAAGGAGATGGTTGCATTGATAGGCGGTGCTCATCTCCAGCTCTAAACACTTTCCTGAGACAAGCAGAATGAATGCAGAGGGACGGGAGAGTGCCACTTGCCGGAGCTTGTTTGGGCAAGAGCTTGGAGCCTGAGATAAGCACCAGCTATCACTCCAGCTTGTCTCCTTGCTAGCTGCATTGTCAGCAGGTCTTGGGGTGTTTTGTCCCATCTTTCTACATGATGTGGAAGGGCAGCTACGTGGTCGGACATCATGCTCCCCTAACCCCAAGGCTCACTAGCAATGCAGCTAGCAAGGAGACAAATTGCAGTAATAGCTGGCGCATATCTCGGGCTCCAAGCACTTGTCCAAAACAAGCTCTGGCAACTGTCAGCCTCCTGTCCTTCTGCATTACTTCTGCTTGTCTCAGAAAAGTGTTTGGAGGTGGAGATAAGCACCAGCTATCAATGCAGCCATCTCCTTGCGAGCTGTGTTGTTGGACAGCTGTGGGGAGCTTCCTGTCCGACCATGTAGCCAACCTTCCACAACATGAAGGAAGATGGGACAAAGTACTACATGTACTTTGTCCCTTGGGAGACAGAACACTGTAATTAAAAAAGAAACAAGACTTCTTTTAAGCCAAAAAAAAAAGGTTCCCTGTAAAAAAAAGGACTAATTATTTGTATCACTGCCAATGTCTCCGATTTTTGCCCTCTTGAAGATTTTACCATGTGACAAAACTTCAATATGTGACTCACTTAGGGATGTAATAGAAGCCTGGTTCCACTTTCCAGACACCACTTTACTACTATGTCCTGTAGTAGCTGGCAGATGTAACCACAGTGAAAGGGGATAAGGCACTTGACGCACTCAGAAAATCTACAGCTGGCAAAACTCTTCAAAGGAGCAAAGATTGGAAGCACAGGTAGCAGGAGAGGTATTAGTCCTTTTTATTTTACATGTAACTTTTTTATGTGTGACAATTTATAGTCTCTTAAAGAGTCACTTTAAAGTAAAACTCCAACCAAACCTTTTTTTTTTTCTGGACAGATTGGTGAAGGGTTAGAACCTATGTCAGGGTTTTACTGATCTTTGTGGAGGAGGATTTCCCTTTACTTTCTGTTCCAAGTCACAAAGACAGGATGTGATAAGAATTCTCCAACAGGGACAGAGAAAGCCAAACAAAAAATCTATAATATGGTGGGTGAGGTTTAAAACCTATATCAGGATGTTATAATTGTTTACATCCTTGTTGGAGTGATTTCCCTTAACTGCTGTCCCAATGTCCCCTTAATTGCTGTCCCAATGAAATTGGTCACCTAGACAGGAATTCAGGCAGCCAAATGCAGATATTTGGCAGCACACCACCGATCTTCAGATTTAGTCCAAATGGTGACCAGGAACAAGAAGCTACAACGTTTCAGAGCTATGCAGGACCCCTTTGTCAGGCATGCGATGAACACATGCCTGACGAAGGGGTTCTACATGGCTCCGAAACATTGCACTTTCTTGGTCTGGATGTGATCATTCTTCAATTAAAAATGTTTGGACTTAATCTGAAGATCTATGGTGTGCTGGCAAATATCTGTGCAAGTTCCAGTTCCCAGCTGGAGGTTGATGCAGCACCCATCACCTTAGAGCAAATTCCAGGAACGTGTGCGGTGGAAATATGGAAAGTTGCTAGGAATTGAGGCAGGACCCAGCAGTAACAACTACAGTGAAGGAAATAAGTATTTGATCCCCTGCAGATTTTGAATGCTTGCCCACTCACAAAGAAACAATCAGTCTAAAAATCGAATGGTAGGTGTATTGTAACACTGAGACAGAATAGCAACAAAAAATTCAAAAGAATGCATGTCAAACAAATGATGACTGATTTGCATGATCATGAGGGAAATAAATATTTGATCCCCTTCACAAAACATGACTTAGTACTTGGTGGCAAATCCCTTGTTGGCAATCACAGAGGTCAGACATTTCCTGGAGTTGGCCACCAGGTTTGCACACATCTCAGGAGGGATTTTGGCCCACCCCTCTTGGCAGATCCTCTCCTACCATTCGATTTTTAGACTGATCGTTTCTTTGTGAGTGGGAAAACATTCAAAATCAGCAGGGGAGCAAATACTTATTTCCTTCACTGTATATCAAGGTTTGAACCGTTCCCACTCTGTCCAAGGCTAAAAAGAAACTTTGACTGGAGACGCATTTCACTTTAAACAAATAATCCAGAAACACAGATGTTCAGTGTGGGTGGTGCTATTGTAAATTCATTGTTCCCCATACTCTCCCCTGTTTCTGGACATGTTAAAAATGATAGAGAGTGGAAGCAAGCAAATTCAATATAAGATCAGCCTCCAAGCTGAACTAGGTAACCTGCCAATGTTCACAGAAGTTAGGAATGCCCCACCATGTAAATATCTAGTTAAAAAAAAAAATAGGTACCCCCCCCCCATAAGTAAAGCAATGGCTTCCGACTTCCTGTCCTATCTGACATTATATCTCAAGGTTGCTTTTATAAGGGACCTCACCACCATCTTGAAGCAAGCCAACTGCCTACGCACACAGGAAGCAGCCATTGTCATACAATAGGCCATGCCATTGTTTTATTTGCAAAAAAAGAGGCACTGAGCACAAAAGTTCACTATTTCATAGCAACCATGGCAAATTTATATATTTCTCATGGTCACTGGCCGAGAACAAAGTGGCTGTTTCCACAGCACGCAAGCAGGAGGAACGCCCCAAATAACACCCAAAGGCCTCATTTATTAACAATGCATAATACATTATAAGAACATTCAGAATGGAAGAGATTTCCTAAGGCATAAACAGATCTGTAGGAACATTATACATCATGATATAAATATGGTTCATCTAGGAAATCTATATAAAAAATGGGCCTATTTCATAAAATTGTGCAAATAACACTTGCAGTAACTAAACAAAATTGGTTTCTATAAACTCCAGTGCAATATGGGTCATTGTACAATAAAAAAGTAAGAAAAGAATTTGGATAATGTATTTAAATATACTCACTGCTGCTTTTCTTGGCCCCAAGTGGATGCCCATCCTCAAGTGAATTTGAACCTACGGATGAGCTGTCTTGGCTGTCCTGGGGAGGTAACTGCAGAAACCCTTCGCTGGACTCTGATCGGGATGGTGTGAGTGTAAGGGATCTCAGGCGTTCACGGTTGACATCTTTCTTGGACTTGATCAGCTTCCTCATCTTTAAAGTTATCCAGTTTCCTCTCCTTAAAGGTAAAGTATTGGACTCTTTACAGATGTAACATAGAAATGATCTTTACAAAGTATTTGTCCTTCTATAGCCATTTGGCACATTAACATTCTTACTGTAATAGACTTACAGTATTCTCTAAATCTGCATATCTCAACCTTTTTATATTGGAGGAACCTTTGAAATAACTTTCAAGACTCAGAGAACCCCTGCTAACAATTACTATATCCACAGCTCACAAAACATTAAAAACGGATCTTTACCCTCAGATACCTTTTCCCTCTCTCTCCATCCCTCCTCTGGTCCTCTGTACAAATAGTGTTTATTTATTTACTTATTTACTTTTTCTTCTTTCTTTGCTCCCCTTTGCATGCCATTCGCTTAGCCACATTTTCCTGGAGGCAAAGCCTTTCATTCTGTAAAGGAAGAGGGGGCAGGCCTAGAGCACATCATCTTCAGGTGGAACATAGGGTCCAACTGGACAACGTTGGATCTACTGGATGGGTGAGTATCATAATGTGGAGAACTCAACTAGGGTTTATAAAAAAAAAAAGGGGGGGGGGGGGGGGTGACAATCAGCTATAAATTTGGGGTCAGTGGAAAAAAAATCCTACTGGATGGCTTGATCATATTGTCTAAAATGTTTATATTGGTTCAGAAACTCACCACTAGGCTGTTAAATAAACCAATCAAATCTTAGTATATCTAATGGGGGGCTTAAACACTTAAGTGCAATTTCTTCATCCCAAATATACGACCAAAATTTATCAAATTACCTCAGCTTTTTTCAAAAACAGCTGACTGTTTGCCTAAATGTAAGTTCCCTAAGCCCCTTTGGCTTTGATCACCTGACCACTGCCTATGTATTTGATCATGTTTTTCCCACTAGAGCATTCTCTCTATCCCACAGCAGTGGTTTCTTCGGGACAGATAGGTATTTCAAGTGGTGTTTTACCATATATGAGTATACTAGTAATAAGTATATTCATATAAATAGATTTACAACCAGTGTTTTGAAGTTTACCTTCTTAGAACTGGTACTTGTATTTCAGATGGTGTTTTACTATACACAGGTATACTGGTAAGTATACCAGTATATACAGTACATACAGTATATATAAAATTTCCACCCGGAGTCTTGCAGTTTGCCTTCTTGGAGGTGATGGTACATAGACCTTGTATTTCAGATGGTCATTACCATATAGGAGTATGCTAGTAACCAATATATTCATATATACTGTACACTCACTGGCCACTTTATTAGGTCCACCTTCTAGTACTGGGTTGGACCCCCTTTTGCCTTCAGAACTGCCTTATTCTTCATGGCATAGATTCAACAAGGTGTTGGAAACATTGACATGAGTTACTGTTTCTATCATCTTGAACCAGTCTGCCATTCTCCTCTGACATCAACAAGACATTTTCGTCCACACAACCGCCGCTTACTGGATATTTTCTCTTTTATGACAATTCTCTGTAAACCCTAGAGATGGTTGTGTGTGAAAATCCTAGTAAATCATCAGTTTTTGAAATACTCAGGCCAGCCCGTCTGGCACAAAAAACCATGCCACGTTCAGAGTCACTCAAATCTCCTTTCTTCCCAATTCTGATGCTCGGTTTTAACTTCAGAAAAAAATTCTTCACCACATCTAGATGCCTAAATGCATTAAGTTACTGCCTGTGATTGGCTGATTAGCAATTTCTGTTACCAAGCAATTGAACAGGTGTAAAAAGAAAAGAAGGTGCTACTACCCATCCAATGCTCATCTCAGGTACTAGGTAGGTGCGTGACCCACAGTTTCTTATCCATTCCAGAATTAAATAAAATCGATCCGCATTACTGCCATTGCACTAAAATCTTCATTTTATTAAACTGACCACAGTAAAAACATCACGGGTACAAAGGTTGACGCGTTTTGGTTTAACAAGCCTTAGTCATAACCCAAGTTATAACCAAGACTTGTTAAGCCGAAACGCGTCAACTTTTGTACTCGTGATGTTTTTACTGTGGTCAATTTAATAAAACAAAAGATTTTATAGCAATGGCGATAGTGCGGATCGATTTCATTTAATTGAATTGGTGTACCTAGTAAAGTGGCCGGTGAGTGTAGATTTGCAACCAGTGTTCTTGCAATTTACCTTCGTGGAGGTGATGGTTCATAGAACTTGTACTGATCCATGATCTTTTCTTCCAGTTTTTCTTTCTGTCGTCGTAGCTCGTTTAACCTATCCCTGTAAAACGAAAGCATGGGTAAATTAGTAAATACCCTCACAAAACTGAACATATTTTTTGCCATTTACTGCTACGTTTATACAAACCAAATTCCATAAGCGTTTGGAATTGGTGTTGTAGATACAGTATTTTAGTCATTATTAATGGCACATACATTGAAGAAACATGTAAAAGAGATGGTGAGTTGAAAGCATTTAGTATACATCAATCTTTGTATGACCAGGGCATATGATGCTACCTGAAGATCAGCAGATCATGATTGCATTGTGTTTAAGGGAAGGCAGTTCTCTGGCACACGACAAACCATCTCTTCCTTTCATTTTCAAACCCGCTTCAGAAAAAATGATAACTTGGCTTGCTACAGTCTATAGGTATAACCTTCTTTATCAGGGGCGGACTGACCATTTGGAAACTCGGGCCCTGCCCGGGGTCAGTAGGGGGCTCCATGATGTGCCCCTGGTACCTTTTTCATAGGCTTTTTTGAGTTTGGGCAAGGACACAGGGGCCCTATGATCCCCTATTACCCGGGGGCCCCATGAGTTGTCAGTCCGCCCCTGTTCCTTTACAATCATTATATTCTCCTGTTTCTGTACTGTAATTGAAAACTAGGAAAGGTAGCACGCAACACCTGTGCACATGTGCCAAGGGAATAATTCCATCTCAACAAGGAATACATTTGCTTACATGTATTGTCTTTGTTCAATCTGGAAGAGATCTTTGCTTTCCATATTCTGGTCCAGCAACGTTTTGTTCAGCAACATTAATGTCTGTATCTGGTCTGTCAAATGTCTATTCTCCTCTTCCAGGTTCCCTTTAACTTGCCCTAAAAGCTAGGGGGAAATGAGAGAATATCAATACAATATACAAAAACAATGCAGAAATCCAGTAACATGGACATTATAAGGAAAAAGTTTGTGTTGAAGTCACTATGCAAGGGTTAAAAAGGTGCTCACAAGCCAGTAATTAAAATAAACCTCTACCCCCCTCTGAAAATGCTAATTACTGTTAGCTAGATCATTATCCTGGACCAGCGTGCAGCAAGTAGAGCTAGAGTGGCCAGAATCCATTGGACTGCCATGATGGTCAAGCAACCTTTAAAACTGAACTCTTGCCTAAGGCTTGGTTCACACCAATGCAGTGTGTTTTTTGTCTATTTTGCAGTGCATTTTGCGTTTTTTGATGGTTTTTTTTTTTTTACCAACTTGTTGCTGGACAGATTAAAAATGTATTAAAAAAAGAACAGAAAATGCACTACATGTGTTTTCTGCAGCATCTCCACTGAAGCCTATTGAACTAAAAATGCAACGTTTTACATAGCTAGCCCAGTTAAAAAAAAAAAAAAAAAGACAAACGTCCATCTAGTTCAGGGGTCTCCAAACTTTTCAAACAAAGGGCCAGTTTACTGTCCTTCAGACTTTAGGGGGGCTAGACTGCAGCCAGTGGGGGTAGAAAATGTAGACACAAATCCAACACTTCCTGCGCTCAGGGACCCAGATCAAACACTGATCAAAGGTTGTGCGGCTCTAGCACGAAGCTGGGGAAGCTCGATACGGACTGTGGTAGAGAACAAAAACAGAGCGCACCAACCTTGTGCATTACCTCAGTAGGCAATAAATAAATTTATTAATGAAGAGATATACTCACAAGAGGAGCAATATATAAGGTATATAACATTCAAAGTATGAAACACTGGGTTAGGAGACACGTGCAAATCCCATCAAGAGGGGAGAAAGACTATCAGGGTCAAGCTGATGCATTTCGAAGGGGGGGTCCCTTCTTCCTTAGAGCTCTGAGGAAGAAGGGACCCCCCTTGGAAATGCATCAGCTTGACCCCAAGAGTCTCTCTCCCCTCTTGATGGGATTTGTACATGTCTCCTAACCCAGTTTTTCGTACTTGGGATGTTATACTCACAAGAGTAGCAATATAAAAGGCATATAACATCCAAGTACGAAACACTGGGTTAGGAGACACGTACGAATCCCATCAAGAGCGGAGAGAGGCTCTCAGGGTCAAGCTGACGCGTTTCGAATGGGGGTCCCTTCTTCCTTAGAGCACTGAGGAAGAAGGGACCCCCCTTTGAAATGCGTCAACTTGACCCTGAGATTCTCTCTCCCCTCTTGATGGGATTCGTACGTGTCTCCTAACCCAGTGTTTTGTACTTGGATGTTATATGCCTTTTATATTGCTACTCTTGTGAGTATATCTCTTTATTGATAAATGTATTTATTGCCTAAAGTTGGTGCGCTCTGTTTTTGATCTCTACCATATGGGTAGAAAATGTCCCATGCCTAGCATCAGTGAAAATAAACATTGCCTCAGGGTTGGTGGTCAGTTACATAGCGCCTATGCAACAGTGCCCCATCATGGGTGTCAGCGGAAGAAATTATGCCCTACTGTTGGTGTCTGTGGGAGAAATAGTGCCTCATATCTGCTGGAGGAATACTGCCCCAAGGGCCGGTTACAGGCCTGCAAAGAACCACATCTAGCCCTCAGGCCACAGTTTGGAGACCACTGATCTAGTTCAATATCAACAGCTGGAAATGTAAGTTTTAGAGTAGGACATTCAGCGCTGACTGTACCGTTTGAGGCAAATAAGAGTATAACAGAGCCAGGGCCACACATTGCACTCACTTTATTAGTGTTCATTTATTTTTTACAGTGCAAATAGCAAAAAAAATGCTATTTCAGCTTTAAGAAGAATATCTCCTAGGTGCAATTTCCCTGAATCACAATCAAATTGCTTCTAAACAAAGTTCCACATTGTGCGTTAGGCAGAAATATTCTGTACTGTTGATTTGCCATGTATTTGTATTCCATTTGATGTAGGAGGTAATATAAAAAGAAAAGATGAGTTTTGTCGATTGCAACTCAAAATCAGTTGCAGGAGGCAGCTTGCTTGCAACAGTTTAGAGACAACATAACTGCACGTATGGGAAACGTAGTTTATTTTATTTATTACATGTACTTATATAGTGCTGTCAATTTACGCAGCACTTTACTTTTATTGTACATTCACATCAGTCCATGCCCTCAAGCCCCATCCACACTTGAGCGTTTTGTAGCGCGAAGCTCCAAAATGCTCAGGGAGGGAAAAAAAAAAATCAATATTACTCTATAGAGATGGTTCACGTCTCTATTCCAAGTCGCCTGAAGCTCAAAAAAGGTTTTGGAGCTACCTTTGTAGCTCCATTTGGGAAGACTGATTCATTTTCATTCCCATAGAAATACATGGAAATGTGCAAATGATGTTTTCACGTGCCTTAGCGTGACCAAGAGCATTTTTCTGGCACAGCAACAAATGATGTCACAGATGAAAATTTTCTCTATTGGCTAATACAAAGATGCCGGAACTCAAAAATCCCCACAACGCCTGAACAAATTGTGCACATATGGTCACAAACGCCCATAAAAATGCGCAAAAAAAGTTACGCTCAGGTGTGAATGGGGTCTCAAGAAGTGTACAATCTAAGGTCTCTAACACAGATTCATACATACACATACTAGGGCCAATTTAGCCAGCAGTCAATTAACCTACCAGCATGTCTTTGGAGTGTGGAAGGAAACCGGAGTACCTGGAGGAAACCCACGCAGACAAAGGGAGAACATGCAAACTCAAGGCAGGTAGTGCCATGGTTAGTATAAACTGAGACATCAGCCAACCAAATACAGATTCCTATTGTTGATTAATGAATATGTAGTATACTCATCAATCAGGACTTCCTATGGAAACTCTTGAGGACTACCCAGGTAAATGTCAACCAAGTTTTCCATCCCTTCATAGAAACCAAAAGATACTCAAAGCTCACCTCGCACTGGTTATTTAGTTTGGTGGATTCGATGTCCAACTTCTGATATTCTTCCTTTAGTCGGGAGAACTCTGCTTCTAATCGGGTCTGTTCTAATTTTCCATTGTTGAGCGAACTTTTCAGGTTTTTATGGTCACTTTGCAGGCTTTCATTCTCCCGTAACAGTTGTCTATATGTGTGGTTAAGTCTGAACAGAGAAGAAACAAAAGAAATAGCAACATGGTGGATGCAGAAATAAAAGTTTTCAAGTGCTATTACTCTATGTATTGTATATAATTCAGCCCAACAACTAATAGCAGTTTGTCACCAGTTAGAAACGGTAGAATCATACATACACAGTAGCATCATACATACACGGCAGCATCATACATACACGGTAGCATCATACATACACACGGTAGCATCATACATACACGGCAGCATCATACACGGCAGCATCATACATACACGGTAGCATCATACATACACGGCAGCATCATACATACACGGCAGCATCATACATACACGGCAGCATCATACATCACGGCACATACACGGTAGCATCATACATACACGGCAGCATCATACATACACGGCAGCATCATACATACACGGTAGCATCATACATACACGGCATCATACATACACAGGTAGCATCATACATACATACGGCAGCATCATACATACACAGTAGCATCATACATACACGGCAGCATCACATACACAGTAGCATCATACATACACGGCAGCATCATACATAAACGGCAGCATCATACATACACAGTAGCATTATACATACATGGCAGCATCATACATGGTAGCATCATCATACATGGTAGCATCATACATACACGGCAGCATCATACATACACGGCAGCATCATACATGCATGGACAGTTATAATAATCACACTGAATATTGGCTTCAAGGATAATTCCAGCTATAGTGGATACCTGAGGGCAGAGTTAGCACCAGGAACGTTTAAAGCCCCAGGATCAACAGTCTGCAGTGCATTGATGCCACTGGCCTGTAGCCCGGATTTTTTTTTTTTAACAAAAGCCTTAAATTTATTTATTTCAGATACTTATATAGCACCGTCAATTTACACAGCACTTTACATATATATTGTACATTCACATCAGTCCCTAACCCTCAAGGGGCGTACAATCTAAGGTTCCTAACTCACATTCATACATACACATACTAGGGACAATTTAGACAGGAGCCAATTCACCTACCAGCATGTCTTTGGAGTGTGGGAGGAAACCAGAGTACCCAGAGGAAACCCACGCAGGCACAGGGAGAACATGCAAACTCCAGGCAGGAGGTGCCGTGGCTGTGATTCGAACCAACGACCCTAGTACTGCCAGGCGGAAGTGCTAACCATTTAGCCACTGTGCTGCCCATTAAATGGGCGACACCCACTGAAACCCAATGGCAGTAACGGCATACAGGGTTTCCAGACAATGAAGTAACTAGCGTGAGCAGGGGCTGACTGACCATTCGAGCACTCGGGCACTGTCCGAGGGCCCAGGGTCAGTAGGGGGCCCCATGAAATGCCCCTGGTACCTTTTTTATAGGCTTTTTTTGAGTGTGGGCAAGGACACAGGGGCCCCATGATCCCCTATTGCCCAGGGGCCCCATGAAAAGGCTGTGCTTCTCTGGACCATTAGGCTGTTGGGTCTCCAATAAGATGTGGACACAGGATTAGAGGCTTTGTTCCTCCCAAGACTCTTCAAAGCCTCCAGACTCCAGAACCCTATCTAGGAGTTACCAACCCTGGATAAAACGGCAAAATTAGTTTTCCCCGCTCAAAATAGCCATTCTGGAGCCCCTCATCCTGCACCATTGAAAGCCCTGTGTGACAAATACCCTTCTGACACCATGATAAGGCATGTCACTGTCCCATTAGCTACAGCAGCCAATGCATCTATAACCTCATAAAACGTAAGTTCTCAGCTCAAGCTCCTGTAAGTCCATCCGGTGATTCCTTCAATGGGTGCTGGCTGGGAAGGAGTCCGTCTAAAATCCTCATATACTGTAGGCATGCATAAAGAAAGGTCCCAAACACCACACACATAGCAAAGCCATTAGAAAACAGGTGAGAGCAGCTCAGCCAACTTCATCCATAGCCACACCCCCAATGCATTTCCCCCCGCACCTGGGGCCCAGTCATGGAAGTCTTAAAGTGATATAAAAAGCTAATTTTTAAAAAAAGAACAAACGTCATACTTACTTGCTCTGTGCAGTGGTTTTGCACAGAGCAGCCCCAATCTTCCTCTTCTCGAGTCACCCGCCAGCGCTCCTGGCCTCTCCCTTCTGCTGATTGCCCTGCTCTGTAGGTGAAGCAATCAGCTCTTCACCAACTGCTACACAATTATGGTGTAGTAAAGCTATAGGGTGGTAACTGGCACAGCCAGAGGGGTCTTTGCCTGGTTTGGGGATTACTATGATGTGGCAATGTAGCATGGGTGAGGGAAATGGGATTGCCCGAGAGAAAGTTGTAAAAAGAATGTCTAGATGAGGTACAAGAAAGGAGAGGAATGATTTAAAGTGGACACATGAAAGGCCATCAGAGCCTGGTGTATCTGCTTTAGAGATTTTAGGTAGCCCTCAAAAGGATAAGTAGGAATTTATCCATTCAGGATGGGTGTCAATATTGGGAGCCTGTGCCATGTACTAGTTTATATAGGTGGGAATAGTAATCTTTGATGCATACTGTATGCCATTTTTTTAGGGTCATCGATTAAGGAGTCATGAGAAATGTGTACTGAGTTGGTGCTGAGAGAGATTAACACTTAAGAGTGCAAGTGTTGGGACAACACCTCCCAGCAGGTAACCTTGGCTCACCTAAAGCAGTGTCTAGTGAGCTTGAGTCCAACCCATGTTTGGTTAAACCCAGAAGGCTGCTGTCAATACCGGGTCAATGAGCTGTAAGCCAGGGATTCCCTGCCCCGCAGCTTCATGTACACAATGGGCACATATGCTTGTGACATCATTGACCTATGATGGCCACATGGACTCACTTTCAGCCCAAACCCAAGCTTATCTCTAGCCTTTACCAGAGCTCCTGATTGTAGAGATAGGCCAGGTGTCCTAGTGGCCTCTAAGCTCTTTTGGCTGTTACTAGATCACAGCCCTCAGGATAGCCTCGCCAAGGGAACAGGAAGACCACAACATGGACACCATAGACTAAGGGATTGCCAAGAGAACTGGGTCACAGTAGAGCCTGTGGTGGGTGCAGGATGGCAGGAAGAGAGTGGTCATGTCAAAGCAGAGGTCATCAATGGGCAAGGAAAACAGCAGAATAGACAGTGTAATCTGGATCAGTAATGGACAGGCAAGTATAATAGCTGTTTTTGAGCATTTCTGTGGTTGCTGGCAAGAAGACACAGAACCAGTCACTTCTAGGGCAGATGCCTAAATACCCTTTGGGTCAAAGGGCTCGGCCAGCATTGTTTCATGGAGCTCTAGAAATTTTGGCAGGGATTCTGCAAGCACCATTGAAAATCCTGGCAGGAATTCTGCAAGCACCATTGGAATTCTGACGGGAATTCTGTGAGCACCATTGGAAGTCCTTGCAGGTGTTCTGCAAAAACCATTGGAAGCCCTGACAGGAATTCTGCAAGCACCATTGGAATTCTGATGGGAATTCTGTGAGCACCATTGGAATCCTTGCAGGTGTTCTGCAAAATCTATTGGAAGCCCTGGCAGGGATTTTGCAAGCACCATCGGAATCCTTGCAGGTTTTCTGCAAGAACCATTGGAAGCCCTGGCAGGGATTTTGCGAGCACCATTGGAAGTCTGACAGGAATTTTCTGCAATTGGAATTCCACAGGAATTCTGGAAGCACCATTGGAAGGTTGCAGGTGTTTGCGAAAAACCATTGGAAGCATTGGCTGGAATTCTGTGAGCACCATTGGAATTCTGACAGGAAATTCTGTGAGCACCATTGGAAGTCCTTGCAGGTGTTCTGCAAAAGCCATTGGAAGCATTGGCTGGAATTCTGCAGGTGTTCTGCACCATTGAACCATTGAACGCCTGGGGATTTTGCTGTGGAATTCTGACCATTGGAAGTCCTTGCATTGGGTGTTCTGCAAAAAACCATTGGAAGCCCTGGCAGGGATTTTGCAAACACCACTGGAATTCTGACGGGAATTCTGTGAGCACCATTGGAAGTCGTTGCAGGTGTTCTGCAAAAACCAATGGAAGCCCTGGCTGGAATTCTGCAAGCACCATTGGAATTCTGATGGGAATTCTGTGAGCACCATTGGAATTCTGATGGGAATTCTGTGAGCACCATCGGAATTCTGATGGGAATTCTGTGAGCACCATCGGAATTCTGATGGGAATTCTGTGAGCACCATCGGAATTCTGATGGGAATTCTGTGAGCACCATCGGAATTCTGATGGGAATTCTGTGAGCACCATCGGAATTCTGATGGGAATTCTGTGAGCACCATCGGAATTCTGATGGGAATTCTGTGAGCACCATCAGAAGTCCTTGCAGGTGTTCTGCAAGAACCATTGGAAGCCCTGGGAGGGATTTTGCAAGCACCATTGGAAGTCCTGGCAGGGGTTCTGCAAGGATCTTCAAAAATACCGGCAGGGCTTCTGGAAGTTCTGGAAGAGGTCCTGGAGGTACTATAACAGCATGCTAAAAAAGTATATACTTTATTTCCCTTGTTGAGGAAAGCGGTCCTATTTGACATCACCTTTTATAAAAATCTTGATTAAATAACAGAATACAAATGTGCAGAAAATTTTCAATTGAGAGATATAATTAATTCTATTTAGTTGATTAAATTTTAATAACGTATTAATATTTTCAGCATTCTCAGTCACAGCTGTTTCCTAGATGCAGAGAAATGATTACATATGACAGCCATCCAGCCGTGGTCACTCCTTTAAATTAAAGTCAAGGGTCCTTCATGCCTTTTCAGGTGTTATTACACATTGGATTATCTCAATATGAACGTGTGATGTCCCACTGAATGAGACTATAGAAGATGATGTCACATGCTCACTCCTGCAGACAGCGTTGCCCTGGCAACAAGTGGAATCCTGTCCCTTGCCAGGGGTCAGCTGGGAACCGAATTTCAATTATGTGGGGGGAAGACGTTGGCGTTTGTATGTGAAATCTTTCAACATATCCCATGTAATGGTTACTGCATTACAAATCTGTATTTATGTGTGTGTGTGTGGGGG